TATTTTGAAGAAGTGGCATTAGAAGAAGTTTAAGTTTAAAAAATTTGGCTCTCCAAAGAAATGCCCATCGTTGACCTGTTGGTATTTGGCTCTGTGGACTAATGACTTTGCCGACCACTGACCCATCCTCACCCCTTGAGATATTAACCTAACAATGACACTTCCTCATCCGCACTGATTCAGCAGTTGGTAAATTTAACATACAGTCTGCAATGTACCACTTACCAGAGAGTCAGTGAGTAGAGAAACCTTCCAAATTACATCCCCGAGGAGACACAGAAGCGTGAGGGAATTGCATGAACCACAACGCCGAGTTCGCTAACGATAACCAAAACCAAAGGCCATGCAGCCTGTTCCAAAGACCCACCTCCTTTCGGGAGTTCCCGTATTCCCACAGGGAAGCCCCAGGGTTTTTTCAGACTTTTCAAAATAAATGCATATGGAAATATTCTGAGTGACAAGAACACCTGTGGATATGTCAAAGTATGTGCGTCCTTTCCAACACGTAGAAAATGAATGTGAGCAGCACACACCACTTCATGTGTGATGCCACACACACACAGCCTGCGGGGCCTGGGATAGTGGTTTGTGTCCGAGGGAAGGGGGTAGGAGGTGGCTAAAGGGTGATGGAAGGTGGTCTGACTTTGGGTGGCGGGCACACTGTGCACTATACAAAGCATGTGTCATAGAAATATACACTTGAGGACTATTCTATCTAATAAAAGAGTAATATGCAAATTGACCATCACTCCAACACACAAGATGGCTGCCACAAGATGGCCAGCAGAGGAGGGCAGTTAGGAGGGACCAGGCCTGCAAGGAAGGGCAGTTGGGGGTGATCAAGCCTGCAGGGAAGGGCAGTTGGGGGTGATCAAGCCTGCAGGGGAGGACAGCTGGGGGCCATCAGGCCTACAGGGGAGGGCAGTGGTAGGGGGGGAACCAGACCAGCAGGGGAGAACACTTAGAGGCAATAAGGCTGGCAGGGGAGGGCAGTTATGGGTGATCAGACTGGGAGGACTATTGGGGGTTACAGGCCTGTAGGTGAAGGCAGTTGTATTAATAGCAACCAGGCCAGCAGGGGAAGGCAATTAGGGCAATTGGCCTGGCAGGGGAACAGTTAGGCATCAATCAGGCTGTCAGGGGAGTGGTTAAGGGGTGATCAGGCTGGCAGGTAAAAGCGGTTAGGGGCAATCAAGAAGGCAGGCAGGTGAGCAGTTAAACCATGTAATTCATTCATGATATTCTGGAACACTAACAAAATAGTTGCTTATTTCTTATTCCATGGAGTTAAAACTGTATCACAGATTGGATGCTATTTATACCACAATTCATGACCGGTATCGGGACCTTTCTGCTTGCTTTGAAGACAGTGCCAAATAGAATTTGTATGTTTTCAGTTAAAATTGTCAACAGAAACAGATTTAAAAGCTCAGGAATAGGTTCAAGATTGACAACAGACTTAATACGTACAAACCTTTCCAAATCTGATGTGTGCATGGCAAACTGTGACCTATGGAACAAACTGTACGTTTGGGTGACGTGCTCAATATGAGTGGCAGGATTCCATTCTGGATTTCAGACCACAAACAATTCACCAATGACACTGAAACCCAAGTTTTATTCTATAAGCAATTTTGTTCTCTAAGTTAACTTCTAACGCAGAAAATATCACTGCATTAACAGTTACGGGCTAACTTACCCCAATTCAATTATTTTGTTTGAAGATTGTAAAGTCATCTTATTTAATTGTGAATTTTTTAAATGTTCAGAATATCCATTAGTTATCCAGTGATTGAAAATAACTGCAAATTCTTTGCAAAAATCAAAATATATTTTCTCTAAATGGTTTTGGGATGTAATTTGTACTTTTCCTGCACACATGCACACACACACACACACACATACACACACACACACACACACACACACAGGACCACTGGAGATATTGTTAAAAATCCTTGTAAGTTAGTGCACATTTTGAAATGTAAGAATATGATCATTTTTAAAGGGAAAATTAAAAATATATCAACATCAAATAGACAAAAAAAAGTGAAAATGATCCCATAAATATTATTCTTTGAAACTGGGATTAAAAACATGATAATCATAAATTCTTACTTGAAAATGTTCAAAACGTAGCACATACACATTTTTGAGTTAGTATTTGTGTTTCTTACAAGGTCATTAATTCTGAGAAGTTAGGTTCCATTTTCTGGTTAGAGCTTATAGTAAGTTTTCCCTTACAGAAAGTCATGCTATGAGCTGTAAGTAACACACCTTAGGCAACTGTAAATGTTGGCAATGAAGGTGTGTAAAGTACAAATGCTCTTTAACACACATGCACCTGTGACTATATTAGCACCTCTTCTGTTATACTTTAAAATAGGCATAAACCTAAAATGTCAAATATAGTTGGACCATACATTAAAACCTATATCACTTCTGTCCACGTAACTCTCACACAGGACATAGAGACTGGAGCAGTTTACGGACATAACCTGGAGGGACTGGCTATAAAGTCCCTTTAAGTCCTTTCACTGTAACGAGAAGAAATATGGTAGCAGCTATTTCTAAACCTTTTGTTTGTTTGTTGCTTGTGACATGTGTTTATATCTTGACTTATTTATGTCACAAAAGTTCAAAGTTACACTGGAAAGTCTAGCATTTAACCACTTCCCGGCTAACATGAGTGATACAGAACTAACAGATTTCAAACTCACAAACAAATCAGCAAAAGCAAGGCCAATCCTTGTTAGAAACCCAAGGTTGATTCACACATCAAGATTATCATACTATGAACAAGCTGAGGTGTTTCCAAGTAAAAATTTGTCTACTTGAGGTTTAAGCACCAACAAAATGAGATCTTGTTCAATAGGTTTGCCTTTTCCCATAAGTGAAACTTGAGTTTTAGAAGCCAGAACATACTTTCTTTAAAATGAAGGTTTCCCTTCCAAAAACAATTTACTTACGTGGCTAAATCGAACTAGAGTAACCATAGCGATTCCCTAGTCTTTGCTCTAAGGAAAGCCACAGAAGGTATTTTACTTTCTTTTGTTCAAAAACCACCACCAACAACCTGATCCAGAACCGTAATAAAAAACAACAAACTGCCCTGCCTCTTTGATTCTTAAATGAGCTGAGAGAAGTGGCCCCAGAGACTCATGGGAAAAAGAAAAGAAAAAGCTGCGTCAAAATTCTCTTAAAACTTCCAATGAGAACTTTTTTTTTTTGAAAACACATCACAGCACATCTAATGTGCAGAATCATTTTTCTCAGACACACAAAGAAAAGTAGATGAACAACACTGTACTTGCATTTGGACTAACCCAGTGGTCGGCAAACTCCTTAGTCCACAGAGCCAAATATCAACGGTACAACGACTGAAATTTCTCTGGAGAGCCGAATATTTTAAATTTAAACTATATTAGTAGGTACATTGTTATTAACTTAATAAGGGTACTCCTAAGCTGGCCTAAGGGCCACACTCAAGGGACTCGTGAGCCGCCGTTTGCTGAAAAAAAACTAACGGAATTTGTCCATAAACTACTGCTCTCCTAACTGAGGCTAGGTAATCACTTTGTTAAACAAAACAAAACAAACAAACAAACAAAAACAACAGGGGGGGGGGTGCTGCTTGCTAATGTCATGGTCCTAGACTCAGGTATCTCACATTTGCATCTGCCCACCTTCTGGCTCCACTGCCTAAGGAGCCTTCCGGCTACTTTATTTTTATTTCTATTTGTTGTGGAATGAATGAAGTGCATACTTCCGAGGAGATCCAACACCTGGGAGTCGTTCTGCCTAAGGCTGTGTTGCTAAGAGGGTTTGGGAAGAAAGAGTAACCTGGATCATCACACTGCACCATCCCAATGCTCAGCATCTCCACCACCAATCAGGAGTGACCTCCCTGCCAGGAGGGGAAGGATGGGGCTCCATGGTCCAGAGAGGACCTCCTGAGCCTGCAGGGTCCTATCCATCCAGCTGGCTTCCTAGGAGCTCTGAGGGCAGCACCTGCCAGCACTCACCTGGTTCCCGGCCTCCTCCCCTGGTCTCCAGCCCCCTCCCCTGGTCTCAGGCCTCCTCCCCTGGTCTCCAGCCTCCTCACCTGGTCTCCGCCCCCCCCCCCCCAATCTCCACCCCCTCCAGCCCCCTCCCCTGGTCTCCAGCCCCCTCCCCTGGTCTCAGGCCTCCTCACCTGGTCTCCAGCTCCTTCACCTGGTCTCCGCCCCCCCCACCCCCAATCTCCACCCCCTCCAGCCCTCTCACCTGGTCTCCAGCCCCTTCCTGGGAGCCAATAGCTGAAAGTCGCTGCGGGGTGAGCAAAACTACTCTCCGGAGAAGTTTGCTCCCTGCCGCCCGCATCCGAAATCCTGAGACCGTTCAGCACCCTGGCCAGCTCCATCCACAGCCCATCCGGCACTCCGCCCGCTCCATCCAGGCCACCGGCGCCCGCCGGCCTCCATCAGGGACCCCGCAGGCTCAGTCCCCTAAGCTTCCCAAGCGCAAACACGCTGCGGGGTTTGATTTTTTATTTTTTTTTATTTTTCTTCCTTAAAAGGAGTCATGCGGACGCAGTTTGCTTCCGATCAGGAGACACGGGTCATCTCAGCTCAGCGCTATGCGGTCCGGAGCGCAGCCAGCTGGGGTCAGCCCAGCCCGGTCCCGGCTGCCCGCTTCTGGCGCCTGCAATCGCACACAATTCCACCCCTAATTTCCCCCAATTCCATCCCAATTCCACCCCAATTCTCCCCAATTCCACCCCAATTCTCCCTAATCCCACCCCAGTCCCCACCGCGCGCGGACACACACCACGAGTTAGGAGCCGGTGGGATCGCCTTCACAGCCTCCCGGGACCCACCGGGCACCTGCCCTTTGGGCCGGAGGGCGGGAGGGAGAGAAAGGAGGGAGGGAGAAAGGGGGGGGAGAGAGAGAGAGAGAGAGAGAGAGAGAGAGAGAGAGAGAGAGAGAGAGAGAAAGGGGGGAGAACACCAAAGCCTCACCAGAGTCCGGCCCCCCGTCCTGCTCAGCGGGCCCCGGAAGACCCCCTTGATGTTGCGAAAGTGCCCGTTGCTGAGCCGCGTGGAGCTGATGACGATGTAGTAGCACTCCATGGGCGGCCGCCGCCGGGCGCACTGAGCCGGCCGGGGCCGGGGCCGGAGCCGCAGCCACAGCCGGAGCCGGAGCCTGAGCCTCGGCCAAACCGGAGCCGCAGCTGCAGCCGGAGCCTCAGTCAGCAGGACCGGGAGGCGCCGGGAGGGGCACCGCCTGCCCGCGCCCCGCGCCTCCTCGGGACCGGCTCCTGCTCCGGGGCCCTGCGCGCCCGGCCGCCCCGCGCTCCGCCGCGGCTTCCCGGGAGCGGCGGGCGGGAGGCGGTTATGGGCGCGGAGCCCGGACCAGGAGCCAATGGCAGGAGCCGGGCCGGAGCGGAGGCGGAGGCGTCCGTCACGCCCCCATCTCCCCTGCCTCCCCGCCCCGGCCTCCCCGCCCCCCCCCCCCCCGCCTCCCCGTCCCCCCCCCCCCCCCCGCCCGGCCTCCCCGTCCCCCCGGGCTTCCCGCCCCCCCGGGCTCCTCCCCCCCCCCCGGCCTTCCCGCCCCCCTCCCTGGCCTCCCCGCGCCCCCCCCCCGCCTCCCCGGCCTCCCCGGCCTCCCCGCCCCGCCCCCCCCCCCCCGACCTCTCGCCCCCCGCCCCCCGGCATCCTCCCCCTCCCCCCCAGGTCTCCACTCCCCGCGCCGGGCAGACGCGGGAGGAGCGCGGGGCGCAGAGGGTCCCCCCGGCCTCCGGGGAGGGGCCGGGCCGCCCAGAGGGGGACCCCCGGTGGGGCAGGGACTTGCACAGACGGGAGGGGGACCCCCGGTGGGGCAGGGACTTGCACAGACGGGAGGGGGTCCCCCGTGGGGCGGGGACACGCAGAGGGAGGTCGGGCCGCAGTCGGGGCGGCGATGGGGGAAATAGATGAACAATCCGGCGCCGGGCCCCCCCTCTCCGGCGGCTCCCCCCGCGGCCTTCCTGGCGTTAGGGCTGGTTTGTGTGTCTGTTTTAATGCCTTTCTGTATTTTTTCAGTGGGAGGCTGGGTCCTGTCCGGAATCTCGCGGAGAGAAAACGCCCCCCCCCCTCCCGCCACCCGGTCCGCGGCGCAGGCACCAGGCTCCGCGGATGGGGACTGGGAAGGGGTCTTGGCGATGCCGGCGGGTGGAGGTGAGGACGCGGCCCTGGTTTGTGGGCTCCGCGACCCAGGGGCGCCCGCACCCACCTTCCCCAGAACCGGTGCCCCTGGGCCGCCGGAGCGGAGGGAGCGGAGGGGCCGCGGGGCTGCGGTGCGGGCCCCGCTCTCCTCCCGCCGCGGACGGAGAGGGCTCGGCGGCGCCCGGCGACCTGCGGGCCCGGCGGGAGCTCAGCCGCCTCCCGGAGGGGAACGGAGCTCGGGGCCGCCTTCCGGAGGGGAACGGAGCTCGGGGCCGCCCCCCGGAGGGGAACGGAGCTCGGGGCCGCCCCCCGGAGGGGAACGGAGCTCGGGGCCGCCCCCCGGAGGGGAACGGAGCTCGGGGCCGCCCCCCGGAGGGGAACGGAGCTCGGGGCCGCCCCCCGGAGGGGAAGGGAACGGGGTCTGGTCCTCGCCTGCTGTTCCGGGGCTGAGACCACAGCCCCGGCCCTGGGCGCTGCCCCCTCACCCGCTGGTCTGCAGGTCTCCGTCCTCCGGGAGCGGGTGCGCCCCCAGGTGCGAACACAGGGCTGGCGCCAGAGAGATCCACCTGGGAGGGGGCCTCAGGGTTTGCTGGAGGCTTTCTCCTGAAGGACTTAAAGGCTAAAAGCAGAGTCTGCACCTTCCCATGCGTGCCGCTCAGAGCAAACTGCACTTGGATAGAATTTATCTCTTCCACGTGGGAGCCAAGATTCCAAGATGTGCCATCCACAGGGTCCCTTATACAAGACTGCGCACAGCAGCGACTCTGCAAACCTTAATATGGTCCTCAAACCGATCTGCCGATTCGATTTGTCTCCTTTTAAAAAACATATTTGTATTGATTTCAGAGAGGAAGGGAGAGGGAGAGAGAGAGAGAGAGAGAAAAAAAAAAAAAAAAAAAAAAAAAACACCAAAAACATCAGAGATGAGAGAAGCATGGATCTGCAGCCTCCTGCACGCCCCCTGCCAGGGATGGAGCCTGCAACCTGGGCCTGTGTCCTGATGGGACTCAAACCTTGACCTCCTGGTTCCTAAATCCCAGCTCAACCACTGAGCCGCACCAGCTGTGCTGATGTTACTCTTTGAAGGAAGAGAAAGAGAGACAGGTATTATGAGAGAGACAATCTTTCTTGTGTGTGGACCTCCTAATCCTCTAAGGTGTTGGGGGGAGGGGTGGTAGTGGGTTTTTTTGCAATATTTTTCTCTAAAGATACTTCTGGAAAAATGTCCAGATATTTATCTACATGGAAAAGCTCACGTTATGGCTCATGAACCAGGACCCCAGTCCCATGACGTGTCCCATGGAACAGTGTCACCCACATGGAAAGTGCTGGCGAATTTATGCATCACATGCCTTATGGCACAAATGCCATAAAAATAAGCGTCAGGGAAATGTCTGTCCGTTCTCTGAAAAAAGTCAGTTCTGGTAGAGCAGTCTACCTTTGCCACGTGCATGCTGATGATCCTGAGGAACCGGGGAAGCTAGGGTGTCAGGCACGGGGACCCCAGGGGGAGAGGAACTAAAACATGGGACCCAACGAGGTAGAGTTATTCAAGCACCCCAACTGAGCGGGAAGGCAGGGCACCCGCCAGAGGCATGAACTTTAAACTGTATGGATTTTGCTAACACAAGCAGCTTGCTAACAACCAATCACAAGGCAGGGAGGCATGTAAACCAATCCCAAGGAAGTTGCTAAGGCAGAATAATTTGAAAAGACCAATCAGGAGCTAGCAAGGCTGTATGCACTCCCCCACCCCCACCCCCAGATTACAAAGCAGGCTCCTCCCTCTCTCTTCCTTGCGCTGGAGGTCAGACACCTGCTCCCTGAGCTGGGCGAACGGCCACGGGGCCTCCCCACGCAGACTCATCACGGGCTTCCGTGCCCTTGAGTGCTGAGCAGCACCTGATGCTACATGGACACCGCAGCACAGTGGTCGGCAAACTCATGAGTCCACAGAGCCAAATACCAACAGGACAAAGATGGACATTTCTTTGGAGAGCCACATTGTTTAAACTTAAACTTCTTCTAACGCCTTTTCAACATAGACCCGCCCAGGCCGTGGTGTTTTGTGGGAGAGCCACACTCAAGGGGCCAAAGAGCAGCATGTGGCTCGAGAGCCACGGTTTGCCCACCACGGCCCCAACATCTTTTCCAGGACCAGCTTCTCCCAACAAACTTACTCCGTGAACCCCTCCTTTCCCCCGGGAACCCCTTCTCCGTTTGGTGAGATGAGGTGCTCACACACACCTTGGCTGAGAGGGGGCCTGGTTTCTGCCAAGCACTTTCACCTGTTGTGTAAATGAAGATCGCACATTTGATGTTTTGTCTGCTGTATCTCCATTTGTTTTCTATTTCTGTTTGTTTTGTGTTTACACCAGAGCTGTAAGCATATGGGTTTCTATAACTCGTTTGATGTTGGTATGTTTAAGTAAACATCACAAATGAACCTAACCAGTGTGGAGAGTCTGGAGAAGAGATTCAGATACGAGGAACAGCAGTCCATGCCAGTCATGGGATACACGCTGAATAAGCATGATTAGCCTCGTCAGCTTCTGGGTTTGTTACTGTGTGATTTGAAAAGAGATGGTCACTTTTTAAGGTAATTATTAACTAATACCTACGAGCAGATCTACCCTCCATATTTCTACTTCTGTATTTCAATTCTGCTGAGTTTACTTTTATTATTATTTTTTAATCCTCACTGAGGATATTTTTCATTGATCTTTAGAAAGAGAGTGAGACAGAAACATCGATGTGAGAGAAACATATCAAATGGCTGCCTCCTGCAGGAGCCCCCACCATGGCCGGGCTGGGAGGAGCCTGCCACTGAGGTCCGTGCCCTTGATCGGAATTGACTCCTGGACCCTTCATTCCACAGGCTGATGCTCTATCCACTGAGCAAAACAGGCCAGGACATTTCTGCTGAGTTTAAATGGAGGAGGGGTGGGATGGGGAAGGAAGTTCCAAACAAAGACTGTACTTTATAAATAACTAATATCTCATCAGTTATAAGGTTGACCCTTTTTTTATCTCCACTATTAAAAACCCACACTGCCAGTGAACTGTAAGAAGCCACCGATTACACAACATCTTAATTATAGAGACATAAAAACAGGAAGATACAGGCCTAGATGTGGGCAGACACCGCCACAATCCACAATGTGCGAGAAGCCACGGTAAGATGCGTCCAGCAGAAGCAGCCTGGAAACCTGGGAAAACGATGACACACCCCCTCCCTCCGGTCATTTCGCCTCTGAAGGAACGGGAATAAGCGGACACCATCCATGTGCCTTCAGGCCTGAATGACTCTGAGGCTCTGGCAACGTCCCCAAATGGACAGCGGTCAGGCCTGGCCAAACAGAAACCCAGTTTATTTTCTCTCCAGGATGTGTGCCTTGAATCGATGGTGAAAATGCAGAAATGTGGAATTTAATGTAAATGTAAGAAGGGCCAGTGAGACATCTCACACTGTTGCTTGGGGTCAGCCCTAAGAAGAGAATTAAACAGTTTGTGCTATGCAGTTCTTTAACAAGTTTTGAAAAAATGGAAGGTTACCTACTGACCAATACAATCTGTTTATTCGGTACTGGGTTTGTATCTTTTTTATCTCCTTACTTTTCAATTCTAATAAGTAGCATTGGGAGAGTTGCCAGAACACTGCTGATTTAAGAGCCAAAGCTACATTTCTGATATGTTGCCAAAGAAATTAATGTAATTGGATACTATCTACCTCATTTACCAAAAGAAATAAAGTGAAGATATATTATTATAAGTCAAGAGAAGAGATGAACTATTATTACATTCCTCTGTTTTATAGTTCTTTTGGAAAGCAATCTGGCAACATCCATTAACATAAAAACTGCATATAACTGTTGAGCTAGCCTGGGATTCTCTAAATAGATTAAAAGGATATTCATGAGAATACTTAATGCTGCACTGTGTAACTTCACAGTTAAAGAAACAGAAATAAAAAAAGAAACATTTTTTACCTCAAGAAAATTATCATCAATAAAGAAATGGTTACATAAGTTGC